ACTCTCCTTCTTCTCCCTCTTTTTTTTTGGTGTTTTAGCGATGTCTCCCTCCCTCCTTCCATTTTCCCCACACCTCAAAATTCAGAGCCTTGCAGAGCTCTGCATAGGAGCCGCCTGTCTGTACTGCAAGCCCCCAAGTGCAGCTTAAGTGATAAGCCCCACTGGGCAGCTCGCACATGTGAGAGCTGAGAGGGCCCAGGCCTGTTTCTGATGGAGCRAGAGCAGCTTCACTGGAGCCTTTAATCCATAGAGGGGACTTCCATTCCTTACCATCCCACACCGGCCTCAGCGAACAGCTCCCAGGGAATAGCTCAGAGAGCAACTACAGGGAATAGCTACRGGAACAACTGGTGGCCTGGAAAACCTGCCTCTCTGCCAGTTTAAAGAGGCTCGGTCTGGAAAAGCAGGAGTTCAGAGTTGATGGCATCAGGCTCTGATGGGAGGAAGAACATTTTGAGCAATGCAATTAACTAGCAGACAAAATGCTTGCTGTTGCGGCAGCCCGTTGCTTTTGCCAGAGGCCACATCCAAGCAGAGGCTGCAGGACCGGGCACAAAGATCCCTGTCCAAGATGCTGGAACTTCTGCTGTAACATGCAGGAGAGTTGTACCTCATTTGACCTCAAGGCTATGAATACGCTGACATGCTGACCATGCTGTAAGTGATAACATTCCAGAAAAAGGAATCCCGAGGTTTCTATTGTCCCTTTTTCCCCTCCTCCCTTTCTCCTGACCACACTTCCACTTTGTTCTCCTACCYATTAAAACCTGGATCAGCTGCAAGAGACAACTGCATGGCAAGATATAAGCCAAAGAGCCCAGACACAAAARAATGAGTTAGTGTCAAAGCACCTTCAGTTTCTTGAGTCAAGAGACTTCGCCCTGCAGCTACTTCTTCCCATCCTCCTCACCGTGCACCTCTCTCTGACCTTTCCACTTCATTTCTCTTTCCACTTTTTACCTAGAAAACAGGCTACCAAGACAGCATCTTTCCAGGTTTCTGTAGCTCTCAGTGCCAGAGCCCTGACTCCCAGCTCAGAAACAACGGGGTGAAGGGCACTACAGGGGTTAAGGGAAAGCCATTTTGCAGGAATTGTGCTCACCCTGCAAACAAAACTGACACTCTGCAGTCATTTTCTAACCCAATTTTTACCACGAAGTTGAAGTCAGTGAAGATGGAGTTTAAATAATATGGCAGTAAGGGTAAAAAACATGGATAACCTTATTATTGATTTCCAGACACCTTTTAGAAATAACAAATAGGCATAGAAAGAGATATAGGCTTAGCAGAAATAGGCACGTGAATTCAAGCAGTTTTCCTTCTGCATACAGAGCAACAATATAATTTTGTGTGGTGAGAAATCAAGCCAAGAGGGTATTCTGCATCCATTGAGACAGCCTCCTGGAAGGCTGTGCGGAGAGAACATCTGTGGACTGACTTTATTCCCATTTTGTCAAGCTTACTAATGGATCTTAAAATAGCCACTGGATGTTAAGCTGTAAATAAAATGTGGAGTCTAACAAAAGATTCACCCTGACATTTGTGCTTATTCTGTAATCAGGGCCTATTATCCCAGACTATTTTTTCAATCGCTTCTATTCATCTGAAATCATTCTAGACAGGAACAAGCCCCTTGCTGGAGTAGCCTACAACAAGTTATTGCTATAAAACCATCCCCTGTATTTCTGGCTGCGTGAGGACACTGACAATACACGCACATGACTCAACAGCACATTAATTTACAGCATATCCACATTTACGGTAAAACCAAATAAAACAGGATAGACAATGATATCTGTATACAAAAATATAACTTTTCAAGATAACTAGAGTCGTGGTAGTAGCGCCCCAGGCAGGAGCCAGAGCACAATGTCCTATTGGGCCCATCTCAAACAAGACAACAGGCCTTGCCTCCAGCAGTTTATAAACTGCGAAACTTCTTCAGTATTCAGCTGCTTTCTGAAACACATGTTAGCATCATCTTGAAAATTTTGCTTTTAAAAAATATTCTGGTTAAACCCACAGGGGGAAATATTCAGTGTTCCATTACAAAGAGGGTATGAATATATCTGAGCTTGTGCATAATGATGGAAGTGAGGTAAACCTACGCACGCAAAGCAGCAACGTCAGAATAAGAATTCCAAGAAAAACAGTACACAGAATGGGAAGTCTTCACATCTGGAAAAAAGAGGAAAGACCCTATGGAGTTTCGGTGAGATCTGCTAGGCAGTTCATCCAGTCGGGCAGGTTTCCCCTTGTTCCAAGAGATGCGGCCGGCCCTTGGCAGTGGGGAGCCCTCCTCTCCTCCAGCCCCACAGGAACCACCACTAGGGATGAGAGGGCGGTTAAATCCCGCCCGGAGGTGCTGGCGCCCCAGCTGGGCGCCGCCTGAGGCCAGCTCAGCGCACCCCAGTTCCAGAGCAGGACGGAGGGAGGAAGATGCCTCCTCCCAAGCGGAGTCTCCGGGAGCCTCTGAAAGGGGACGCGGCGTCGCAGTCGACATTCACTGCCTCCTTCTCCCGCTTTCCCCTTCCCCTCCCGGAGAGGGTCCAACCCTCCGCCACGGCTCCTGGCTGTCCCTGCCTCGCTCCGGGAGCAGCGGCTCGTCCCAGCCGCTGCCGGCTTCCCAGCTTCCCGGGATCCGCTCTGTGCCGGGGCAGCCCCAGCGATCCCAGCCGGAGCCTCCCCCGTCCCGAGGCGGGAGCTCACAGAGCCCCTGCGTGTCCTTCAACGCGGCCCCTCAGGCCCCGCTGGAAGCGCTCCGGGCAGCGACCAAGGAAGCGGCAGCTCCTGAGGGGAGGCGGGAGCAGGCCAGGACAGGCCGGACCTGGACACTAAGGAGGGGGATGAGCCTTGGGCCTAAGCAAAACCAAACCAAACCCCACACAAACCAAAAGCCTCGCCTACCACCACTGCGAGCAGTCACGGTCAACTCAAAGGATACAGTCATTAAAATAACACAATTCCCTRAGCTGTCACACTGATATAAAAATAAATAACTTTTTTTTAATCATAAACAGAGGCGTACATTCATGTATACCTACACACATTCTTTTTCTTTTTTTTCTTTTTTTTTTAAATGGGAACTTTTTTGGAAGAACCAAGTCAGCTGAAGCATTTGGAAGTCCCTTCAGTTTATAAGCCCCATGCAGACCTTTTGCTTTCACTCTGTTCAATTAGCAACCACGGACTTTTCTATAAAGCATTCTTTATTTTAAGTTAAATAATTTTTCAAGGATGGTTTCCATCTATAAAATGAACAAAGTACAAGCTCTGTACAGCAGACTTTTCAAATCAACTGAAAAAAAAGTTTCCAGACGATGTCTTGAAAATCTGCAAAACAAACGTTATCACCATTCCTGCTCTGAAGACAGTAAGAAAAGCTCTCAGAAGAAGACTCCATCACAATTTGCTTCAAGGGCTCTTAATTCTGCTTTCAAATGGGCTAATTTCTTAAATGTTACCACCTCCCCTCAAAATCACAGTAAATAACTTTGGCACACTGTCATGTAAACATAACGAAGAGATACCACTTCTTTCTGCTCTCTCAAAGAAAAGTAATGCTGTCTGTAACATACAGCTCCTATACTGCGGCCCCTATGCACAGCAACTGTGGGGAATTGGAGAAATATTCCTACTATATATGGTACACATTGACATTCCAGACTTGGTGAAGGGGCAGAGTAGGAAATTCGACCAGGGAGTCTGACTTGGAGTCGAGAGGCAGGTCGGAGTTGCGAGTACCGGCTGAAATCAATAGTATGTTTGCTGTGATTAAAGCTGCAACTGGAAAACATCCACAGCAGAAGCTGCATGGATTTTATTTAAATTCTGTTTTCCCAAGCCTGCAAACAATGGACTTGCTGCTGAGCCCACATCTGAGCATTTATTTTGCAGAGCAGCAGAAATCCACTGCTGCTTGTAGATCACATTCTTCTAGGTTAAAAGGTTACAGGTAGGGAGGCACTAAAAGCTGAAAACTAGTTTATCTGCTATATGGCCTCTAAAACAGAGAAGTCCGGCGGGGGAAGTGCATGGCAAAAAAAGCAGAAAAGGAATCAATTATTCATAGGAAAGTCAGGTGATGGATGAGAGAAGCTGGATATAACCATTTCCCTCAACATTCCCATCCAAAAGGGATGCAGGTTCTCGCGAGTCACAGCTTCCAACGTGCAAGGGATTTGCGGGCACACTTGGTGACACAGTTCAAGCCGCTCTGCCCACACGAGTGCCACCTTTGCACCCACTGCATAGATGCAGCCAAAGGAAACCCCCATCAGGAGCTACTCTATTTCCAGAGATAAAAAAGGAAGGAAAACCTGCAGGAGCATCCTACAGTACAGTAAGTGTTCACCACCTATATTTGCTGAGACCCTGACCTCACCAAACCCATTTCCTGGCACTGCACATCCGCACTCATTTCAGTCTATAGCCTGTGTTGCTGGAACTACTCATTTACCTCTCCTTCTCACGGTAAAAGCTCACTGAAGCATTTGCTTAATAAAAAAGTATATATTCTATGCAAATCTAAGAAAGCGCAGATCAAAGTTGGAGTCAACTTTGACAGGATTATTTTAATATAAAAGTGACATCAGCTGGATTTAAGCTGTAAAATGTATTACTTCTACATTTAAAAAACACATATAGGATCTGCTGGTATCCAGACTGATTCCCAGAGCCAAGCCTGAATCCAATCGAAAACTTCATTTAAATAAACACAACACAAAAAAATCTCCCAGTAGTAGGCCTATAAGTTAAAGAAGTGCAATTCAGAGATATCATGTAGCTGCTCATCCTTGCAAATTAAAAATCAAGGTCTTGTGCTATCTGTACACAATTATGTTGTCATCTTTCTTTGAAAATTCAAAGGGGGTTTTGAGACAAAGAAACTATTCTGATTAGGCCCAGCATAAAATCCTGTGCTGAAACCACATGGCTGCATCTGTGAAAAAACTGCTCTGTTTATACAGGCCTTAAAAAAAAAAAAAAAAAAAAAAAAAGGAAGTATTTTAAAGACAAAGTACTACAGAAATGATCAACACAAACGTCAAGTAAAAGTTTAAAAGTTGCAGATGCCCAGGCTGCATGTCACGAATTTCCAAGTTGGAGGAAACAATCCAAGCAACCACCGTGCAGACACACTGGCTTGTTCTGCTATTTTCTTTCTCCTCCTGAGTTGCATGATCTCCAGTGAGGGTGAAGTGTTAAGAAGGACATCCAGTTTGGAAAGCCAAAGCATCCAGTGTTAGCATGGACATGAGACTCAGCAGCACTGAACGTGCACCTTCAAAGTTTCACTCTGCTAGCATTCAAATCCAATTGCTGGTTATACGTATATGTCAATCACTTTGCTGATAATTATAGGATGATGAAAATTGGTATAAATCATTGGGAGCTGACAATATATATATTTTATATATTTATATTTAGAGTCCATCATAGAAAAGTTCTTATTCAAATATACCAAGTACACACAGGAAAAAAAAAAAAACCAAAAAACCCTTCAAAATGACACTTCTGTTTCTGGAAACCACAGACAATGATTTCTAAGCAAATGGAGATTTCAAATGATCTTCTCCTAAGTCAGTTTTCCCACCCAGCCCTCCCCGCACCCTGTTCCCCACAGGTGTTTTTCTTGAGATCCACTTTCTATGATACATTGGCTGTTCCTAGAGTTAATTATCTGCTGTGCAAGTATGTAACTGAAGACAGAAAGGAACTGTGAAGGTCTTCCCACCAAGCAGGAACTGTGCTGCAGGCAGCTTCAACAGTCACTGCAGCGCTCCAGGCCCCCGGCTCCCTGGTGTCTGCTTCAGCGCGCTCCTACTTCCAGATAAAGGTGGAATACTGAGGTATATAAGGTCCGTGGAAAGTTTAAGAAATACATCAGCAATGCAATCAAAACTTTGCCCAATGTCTACGAACTGAAACGGCATTTTGCACGGGAGTCCTCCTACTGCTGCAGGTTAAGTGTGAATTTCCACTGCTGTGACAAGGAAGGACTGCACACCTCAACGGTGAGACCACCATTTTTGGCATTCCGGCTGTCCAGACAGAGGTTACTGCCAACGTGCCTGAGTTTAGAGTTGCTTTCAATCTGTTCCCATTTCTGGAAGAGAAAATAAAAACACCGAATTACAAAAGCAGAAAAAAAAGGTGAGTTGCACATCCTGCTCTCTGAAGTCCTTATATCCTTCCCCAGTTCCAAATGCTGTCCTGGCAGCACGCTGGCTCAGCCTACCAGCAGCCTTGCCAAAAACTGCTATTCTCAAGGAGCTAAACTGCACAATATACCAAATCGTTCTTCTTCCTTTGAGTTCTTCCCAAACATACTGTCACACCGTGTACGTCTGTGTGAGAAATTCTTGATTTGGAAGGAAAAAAAGAGTTTAAACACATTCAGAGCATCACTAGAGTTGTAAACATAAAGAAGTGATAAGTAGTAAGTATGAAAAAAGGCAACCTGAATGAATTCTAGAAATCAGTCAGATTCCCTTGGGAATATACGGAAGACAACCAGTTAGTTCGGGCTGCCAGAAGCTCTCTACCTAAGGTGGGGCCAGGGCTAGAGGAGCAGTGTTTGCTGATGACCGACACACACACATGTTTTTTCCCCCGAGACTCCTGACTCATTCTGCCTTTAAACCTGATCAAGGGAATCCTCCTCTCTCCTTGGTTTCCTTATTTGTAAAGTGGAGTGTGTTCTTTGAACATCACACTGATCTGTTTGCAAATACCATGATAGAGAAGCAAGGAAATTGGCAGCAGCTCAGAACTGATGACTTTGCAGAAGCAGACTGTTACAGGACTCTACCGAAAAGATGTTATGACTCTGCAAAAGTGATTTTACCTATGTACAGAAAATAAAAGAAGCAACAATGCTACTTTCAAGTGCCATTACAAAGCCTGATCATTCCTTGGCTTTCTCCCTATGCTAAATAATGTTTTCCTCTTCTTGTAACTACAAATACCATGTAAAATGAAGTTGCTCTACTCCCCCTCCTGCAGATGCACATTCATGTATAACCTGGGCTAGGCACGGCTGCAGARTAAAAAGCCAAACCAGCCTGCTCTGCAGCACACCAGCTCACAGTCACGCTTYGTGGAAGGGGGCCGTTCAAAAACCCCTTCTGGAAAATATCTTTCGTTTCAAAAACAGACAAGGCAACTGAAGATGGCTGCACACAAACGCTGCCAGGCAAACTTTACTCAATCTTGACATAAGAGTCCAGTCTGTTAATGTAGCATGGATACTTGCTTAGAAACAGAAAAGCTCAGTATACAGGCGCATTCCCAGAGCTAGTATGCCCAGATGTCACACATCYCATTTTTACACACAATGGGTGGACAGGCAAAAGCAGGAGGCAGAGCAGAAAATGGGCACTTTYTTGCACTCTTTCACACGCAATCTTTGTTTTCCCACTGTTTGGGGAACGCTCTCAGGATATACTAACCTGTCTGCTGTCATTTTCTCTGCAGCCCTGAAGTTTTATTAGTGAACCAGGTGCTCTGTCCACAACAGTAAGGCACAAATCCATATGTTTCACTGACTTATCCTTTGTTAAGGCCCATTCCTAAAAAAAAAAAAAAAAAAAAGAAAAAAGTGTATGCATATACATTTTTTCTCACAAGGGACACTCCCCACACACTATGTCTACATTTCCAGCACAGTTTAAACTGTGTTTAACCTGTTTGATTTGGTTTCATGTTTGATTCTGTGAAAGAGTCTCCTAAAAGAACCTTAGTTTTTTAGTTTACTGGTGCTGTTCCACTTGTTCATCAATGACCTGGACGAGGGCACGGAGTGCWCCCTCAGCAAGTTTGCAGATGACACCAAGCTGGGTGGAGCGGCCGACACTCCGGAGGGCTGCGCTGCCATCCAGAGGGACCTGGACAGGCTGGGGGGTTGGGCAGAGAGGAACCTCATGAGGTTCAACAAGGACAAGTGCAGGGTCCTGCACCTGGGGAGGAATAACCCCAGGCACCAGYATAGATTACGGGTCGACCTGCTGGAAAACAGCTCCACGGAGAGGGACCTGGGAGTCCTGGTTGACACCAAGTTAACCATGAGTCAGCAGTGTCCTCGTGGCCAAGAGGCCAATGGGATCCTGGCCTGCTCAGAATAAGCACTAGAACACTTCTGTTCCACCTAGATCAGGCAAATAAAGGTCATTTCAAAACACAGAAAAYTCTTTTGGTCCCTAGGCCCCAGCTGAGCTCTGGGCTGGGCTTCTGGCTCCCTCTGCTGGCTTCCCAGTAATACAGCTGGCAGTCATACAGGTCCTCAAATTTAAATCATAGATACTTCTCACGGTAAAGGCACCCAAAGTTTGGGTTGCAGCCTCTCTCGTCACTCTAACCATACATTACATAATGCATATGCAATGCAGGGCCAAAAATAATGATAGTTCCTACTGAAGTTGAGACTATTAGAAAGCAATAGAGAAGACTGACAAATTTCAGGGCAAAAGGTAAAACAATACTTTCCATCCAATACATAATTTCTTGTAATTTTCTGTTAATATGTGATTTACAACAGGTAATTTCTTTTAAATATGTTTAAACATGCAATTTTTCAAAATAGAGAAGAAAAAATYCAATTTGCATATATTGTTTGTGCCATACTTTTAGAGGCTGCTCAAACACTGTCCAGATTGTTTGATCTTAGCGTTCTACAGCAGGCCTGATCTGGCCCTGATGTCCAGACCCTCTCCACGCCTCTCACCCTCAAGCTTGGTCTGCAGGATCCACATGGCTCTTCACACCTCTCATCATCCTTGAGGGATGCTGCCCATCTGCTCTACCACTGGAGCCACACTAACTGTTCCACTGGAGCTCACTGCTACTTAAAAAAAGCATGTGCACAGAAAAAGATCAACTTTCCTCCAGCAATTCATCTCAGATGACAGTTAAAATTATTTGCCTTCTCAGTTCCCCCCAGTCCATACAATGTCATCAAGGGCCACTCGCAGCCACTTTCAATAATGATTTTAACATTAAGAAACTGGACAAGTATTTTTAGGATTTATCTGGAATTTCTAAGAAACATTAAGAGCCACTGAAGGGCATCTGCAATGGCCCTTTAAGATTTATATTTAATAATTCACAAAAATCTTTAAGTGCTGATAGAGTTTAAGTGGCAAAGCCTTTTGCTTGAGATTCCGCCAAGCAGAGGCAGGACCAGGATCTGGGAAGTCTGGCCTTGCGCATCTTCACCTTCCCATGAGAAGCCTGGGTGGCTTCTCGGGCACAACAGAAGCCACCAGCAGCTGTTGGCACGTTCAAAGGCCGAGGAGCTTCTTGTGCAGCAGGCTCTGCTGCCGCGGGAGCCCTTCACCGTACGAAACGGAGTGCACGGACGCTGCCCTTTGGTGACCGGAAATTAAGCCTAGCTGTCAATGGAAAKCAGCACTGAGTTAATTCCAGCACATCACCACAGGATGGTTCTGGTAATGACTGGGAACACCAGGTCATCCGAGAAAGCCAAGAGTGCAAATAACTGGAACTACAGAGTGAGCGGAACATCAAGCTAAGCCCTTCCCCTTGCATCTGTCTACTGAGATCTATCGTTATCTCCTTAACCCTACATACCTGTACACATTTGTCAAACAACACACCAGGACTGCTTCAGCTCATTATACACACTAACTACCTTTTTTTTTTTTAAAGTCACTACATTTCACCCATCCACTCTAGGAAAAAAGCATCTCCTTCCCACTTAAACTCCATATAGGTGGGTTGAGCCTAAGTGAGAGAGAGAGAGCACGTCCTCCCCAACAGAATGGAGGCTGTGCACAGCCCTCCTGCTACCCAGTGCTCCCCTAGTGCTCCCAGTAAGAACCAGTGTAAAACAGACAGGGCCGAGCCAAACAACAAGGTCTGCTCCCCACCCTCCTTTCCTAAGCTCGGGTCACGGCTCATTCCTGCTTAGATTTTTCACAGCTTCGTCTATGGTCATAAACAACTGATCATGCCTGTTTAATCACAAAGGAGATTATTTCTTCCCAAATAAGGTTTAATTTCTCAAGCTGATGCTCTGTTAATTTAAGAAGTGAGGATGTGTCAATATTTCAGAAACATYTCACAAACTTTAACTATGTTTATGTTGTCTTCTGCAGATCTAAAACCCCATCGCCTTGAGTCCTAGATGGGAACCCCCAGCAGGGCTTCTAGATGACCTTCAGCAATATTCAGGCCATATTCCACATCTCTCTGCTGCCTTGTACTTCCAGGAAAAAAATATTGCAGATTCCTGTGCCCAGTCAAAAAGGCCTCTGACCAGTTCAGTCCTGGTCATAAGTGAAAAGAATTTGAGCTTTCCATTGCAAGAGCATCCAAATTAAAATCCCTCTATTTTTTCAAAACAGAAAACTGATGGAAAAGATATAGCAGATTTTTTACAAGCAGTAACGATAGAAACGATAGAAATGATTTTTTCACCAAAACGCTCTTTTTAACCACCTCCGTTTCTAAGGAAAAATAGAGCAACAACAGGCTAGGAGAGAAGTACCTACTCTCTAGGCTTATGAATACTACAGGTTATTCTGATGTGTATGGAAAACACCAAGCACCTCGTTACTCTACTGCTGGTGGAAGGCAGAGCATCCTTCACCTAAGCTCATTTCCTCGTGAAAAACCTCTTTTCTGAGCACTCAGGTGAGAGATTATTTTATCCTCTCTCCTAGGAAACTGCTCATTGCAAGATTATATTAATTTTTCAGGCTTGCTTCCACAGACCAGATTTCACTGAAAAGAGGGTGAGACCCAAGGAACTTTCTATACTTGTAGAAAATACACAACTTTACTGGAAGCTTCCCAAGTGTCCACCCCAAAGCAATTTTGACATGTCCACCCTTTCTTCTGAAAACACTCTGGTGCTTTGAAAAGATGAGTGCACTTTCATAAACAGAAAGAGCCTCACTGGATATATGCCTCCTTTCTCCATCATTAAAGAGATTTAGGAATACTTTAGATGTATGATGACAACCCATTCAAGTTGACATGACATTTCCTGAAATAGCTTCTTTATTTTGTTGTTCTCTTGGATTGAAGTGTTTTCCCCTTCTAACTACAATCAGAGCTCAGATTTGATACAATTTATTCATTCAATGGTAGATTTTTAATTGGCCAGATATTCTAACAGGGGATACATTTGATATACCAATTTTACATTTGTTTGACTTAACATCAGCTTGTTTCTGAGAAGAGCTGGGTGTCAAAACAGCACATACCCAGTGAAACATATGCAAACACTTGGTTAACGATTCCTGTAAGTAACAACTGCCTAATTAGATTTTTCCCAATAATTAATGTTCCCATTTAGATGTTGTTTACAGATTTGACACATCTGTGATCAGTTTAAGAGCAGAATTAGGAAGGGTTTACTGAAACGCTCTCTCTGCTGTTAGTGAATAGATGGTATCATTTGGTAACCTCTGTTTTGTGGAAGAGCTTTCGTGGGATTCGAGACAGGGTTTTCACATTCTGTTACTGCACACTGGAAGTGACTAACAGAGCACCACAGTAATGTGTCCTCTGGGTGTGCTGATCATACGGAAAAAAAGAACCAATTTCCAACACAAACATTTTCTTCAGAGGATGAGGGAAAAGAATAACAAAAAAAAACACTAGGTGATGGATGAAAGCTCTCCAAAGAAGTGTAAACCTTTTGGGAAGGATATTACTGACCTCCAGGATAAAACTAAATATTAAGAGAAATAGGAAGAGGGAATAATCCAGTGTACACTGAATGAACCTCTGGGCKCTGAGATTCTAAACCTGAAAATGCAAAGTTATGTTTCAGGGAGCAGTTACTCAGTCTGTTTTGATAACTGGTCTGTTGGTCCAGATTAATCTTTCTGTCACCAGTACATACTATTTGCTTGGGCTAAAGTTTCCCATTTTTAAATACCACAGGATTTGGAGAAGGAAAAAGGGAAGGGCATACAGACCTGGTTTCCCCCAGCATTATGGCATTCATAAACTCCAACAACACCATCTGCAAAATGGCCCAGCGTGTCAAGGCAATTGGTACCTTGCTGCAAAGCCCCGAAAGCTATATCTTGATGATCAGGTACCCTAAAAATGAAATGGGAAATATCTGCTTAATTTAGTTTCTCTCTTGTTTTTAAATTCCTTTCTTTACCTTAACTATTTTTACGATGAGAGGTTGAAGGTAATTGATGACTGCTACTTGGGGAACTAATCATCTTTTAATGAGGGAAAGCAATTATTTGACATTAACTGATCAAATATGAGCAGACTTGTAAGCTTAGTGCAGAATATGAAGAGATTCTTAGCAGGGAAAGAGGGTGAACACATGAACTCAGCACAACATGCAAATTCAAGATAATGTTATCATTTAAGGCTACTCAAGGTTTCAAGTTATCCATGGCAGTCATCTAGCCCTGTTTTTTTTTTTTTTTTTTTTTTTTTTAGAAGACGTTCGAGACAAACAACTGACATTTGATATTTGGCCCAGTCTTCTCCTCCCGAGTAGAAATGGTGTCAGAGAAAAATTAATGCTTTGCTGTTATCTATTTTCAGACCATTGCACAAAAACTGAAATTCACAGTTTGGAAACACTTAAAGTGAGTACATTCAACATCATAAAAATTATCATTTCAGAACCGAGAGTAAAAGCAGACTAGCTCCTTTTAAAACTTCAGACTTCATAAGAATAAGTTCAACCCAACAGAACTGAGCACATGAGAACTGACACAGAATAAGACAGTACATTTAAGCAGTGCTTATTTTAGTACATTTTCTAGGACAGCTAGCAARCCACATTCCTTCCGTTAAATTAAACAAAAATAAACATTCTCTGGCACTTTTAGAAAATAAAGAGCAACTTGCTTCCTTTGCATCACTGTCCTAGTGCATGGGACTGTTTAGTATCTGTGGTTCTGGACAAGCTTTTCTAGGCCTGTAACTGCTGAGGTTTTTGCATTGCAAGCCTGAGTCACCAGCAGCTACCTGAGTAACTGAGGGGGTGACTGACACGAATGGCACTCAGAAAAGGGGAGGGTTGAAGTGTCCTGACAAGCTGCACCTAGAAGAAAACAGACTAACTGGTCTATAGGCTCAAGTTTGTTAGCCATGCTTATTGGCAGGTTATGGRACAAAAGTTCATTAATTTAAGAAGTGATTCTGTAATAATCACTTTCTCTTATGAAGTTCTTTTCATTCATCCGGATATATTCTAAAATGGTAAATGAGTTTTTACATTTAGATTAAATTCTTCAAATATTGATTTATTTCTAAGAAGCTGTGGCAAGATTACCTCTTATTTCCTCATTTTTTTCACATGCATAAAGGTTGATGATTGCCCTATGACGCAGTAATACAGGAAAAAAAAATAGGAGGTTCAACGTGGAGCTATGCATTTATCATAGTGAGCAAAAGCCACAGCTTTCTTATGTGCTGACTTGAGTTACTTGCACTGTCCTGCAAATCAGTCCACTCACTGAACTGTGCAGGCGTCCAGGTGAAGGCAAAGGCTTTAAGGGAAGATGACAAGATGCAAAAGCACACACTTTCCAGCAACCAGCTTGTGTAGGAGACTAACATGAGACTCAGAGGTGAAATATAAGGCTATGGACACCGCTTTCCAAAATACAGGATGCAACTGCAGCAAGCAGTTGGATTAGTTGGAAAAGAAAATGGATTTCTTGGAGGTAAGTGGTATTTTTGGAATAGAACTAACAAAATAAAAAGCAAGCAAGCAAAAAAATCAAGCCTGTAACAAACTGGTTTTGCAAATCAAAGTTTATATATTTTATGTTTTATGCTTATTTATTTTTATATATCCTTATATATATTATGTTTAAAATATAAAAGCATAATCTACATTATATATAATATATAATTATTATCTATTGTTTTATATATAAGCATATGTATACAGAGTTAATGTCTAAGGAAAGGGAAACTGATGCCTTCTGTAGTGGGGAAACAGACAGCTCCAACTGCAGCCAAAACTCACCGTAACTCAGGATAAACAGTTTCAAGGTACCATTTGAAGGGTTTGCAGCTAAGTCTCCTTCTGAGTTCCATCCGGCTTTGAATGCTGGAGGGCAAAAAATAAATCAATCAAGTTTTCAAAGTCTGGCTACTGCACTTCACATAGCTTAATGGACACACAAAAATTCTTAAGTTCCTTAAGAGAACTGTATGTTAAAGAGATTAAACACGAGAGSTAGTATGGCCATCACCTCAGAAGGCACCGGCTTGTGCAGCGAACAGCAGAACGCAGCAGTTGTGACTTACTTGCCGTAAGGTACATTCCTGGCTGAAGGCACTGCTGCGTAATAGAAATTTTTATACTCATCCATCCAGACTTCTGCTGCTCTGCGTGTATTTCTAGGAACAATCATATGAAGCAGGTTATATTTTCGGTAGCTGCAATCAGGCGACCACATTTACTCTTGATTTGATTTTAAGCCTTCCTAGTCCTATACAGTCAGCTGCCTCAAGCTAGGCAGAATATTCCCTGTTAATATTCCTTATGCAGACACATGACTGAAATCAACATTTTTAGAATGAAAATTATTCCCTCTCCTCACTCACAGCTTCTTCAGGCTTATATTCACATTTAATAGGCATTGTCTTACAGAACCCTTTCTGAAATTCTTAGCTCTTTGCTTTTTCTTTTTATATGAGTAACTCGAGAGAAACCAAATTCACTGAATGTTAACTGGGAAAATAAGAGCGCTAATTGGAAACCTCTAAAATCTCAACAGTTGGCAATATTTATTAATGCCTTTTACCTTGCTGAAAACAGACATGCTAACTTTGGCATTTTCGGTCTCCATCTATTTCTACCATCAGAACCCTTGACGTTCCCAACAGACATAAGTTGTCATGGCATTTAAGTCTATGAATCAAGCTGCAGCTTAACTAACAGAGGAAAAGAGTATATTAGAAAATGTTTTAGAGACTCTAAAAGACAGATTTAAATACTGCTCTAAAGGTTAATAAAAACAAACCTCCAAAATCCTATCTCTGAAAAAAAAGCATCTCTAAAGTTACTATATTTGTAATCAATGCCTTTAAAACTCCTCTTGCACTGCAAGAGTTGTTTTTGCATGCTGTAGCTTCTATAGAAATCTCACATTTACTTCTATCATTTGTAATTTTATGTTTAGAAAATTCTAGAGAGGTTCCAGTAYAGAACAACAAAGATGATTAAGAGACTGGGGCATCTATCTTATCAGGAAAGACTAAGTGAGCAGGGCTTGTTTRGCCTGGAAAACAGAACATTGAGAGGGGATCTGATCAACATGTACAAATACCTGAGGGGAGGATGTAGGGAGGAAGGGACCAAGTTCTTCCCAGTGGTGGCCAGTGAYAGGACAAGGGAAAATGGGTCTAAGTTGAAACACAGGCAGCTCCATCTCCATGTGAGGAGGAACTTCTTCACAGTGAGGGTGGCAGAGCCCTGGCACAGGCTGCCCAGGGAGGCTGTGGAGTCTCCTTCTCTGGAGATCTTCCAAACCCGCCTGGATGCCGCCCTGTGCCCCGTGCTCTGGGTGTCCCTGMTGGAGCAGGGGGATTGGACTAGAGGATCTCTAGAGGTCCCTTCCAACCTCAACCGTTCTGTGATTCTGTGAAAATKGAGTCTTATTTTATTTACAGCTGCTATGCTCTGAAGCTTATTCTACATTTGACAATAAGTTAATCTAACACAACCACAGTAAATTCAATCAGTCAGTAATTTCTTTATTACGGTCCTTTCTAATTCAAAAGACTGACATAGTGCACAAGCGCTTCTTGTAGGCTTCTTGTAGGGAAGGAGGTGGGATGAAAAACATCTACCAGACCTCAATCTTTTTTGGAAGGGGAAGAGGGGGCGCGCAGCAGGGCTCCCCGCTCAGAGGCAGCGAAGCKGCCGGTGCTGCCGGTGCTCGCGCAGGGGAGCGCGCTCGCGCAGGGGAGCACGCACGCGGCCTGACAGCCCGGGCAGCCGCGAGCTGCGCCCGCCCACGCCTCGGCCACGAAGCCTCTCCTGCTGTGGGGCTCCCAGCCCGGCATCCTGAGCCCCCCGCTGGATCCGCACGCCAAAAGGCAGCATGGGTCAACTAGTGCACTAAAAACCTGGAGACTTCACCCACAGTGTGCGGGAGCATGGCACACAGGCAAGCGACTGAGGAGGTGATGAGCCAACAAGCCCTGGCTGCAAGCCCAGCACCGAGGCCTGCACTGTCCTGGCACCACAGTCCCACACGTAACAGGCAATATCCCCACCGCAAACCTGCAGGATCACGTAAGGTTTCCTGTTCTCTCTCTGTCTCTGAGAAAGCCGGTAACTTAGACATTCTGCTGTATCGGTTTGACACCCAAACCTGCTGGCTCAGGACAGGACCTTCAAACACACAACAACCTGTCAACCCCGTTTTTAAGTGACATGCTACTTTGCTAGGCCCGCTCAACACTAATCCCAATGAAACAAATATTTTAATAGCGTTTCGGTATTTGAGATGGCTGGACAACAAGGAGAGAGGCAATAAGCCAGTTGCAGAGAAATGTAGAGCAGGAAGGGGGGGCAAGTACCCTTTTTATATATAAATATATATATATAAAAATTATATATATATATATAACTATATGTTGCAGTAATTGTCAGGATGTTTGGGGGAATCGAATCCCAACGGGGATTTGACTACACTGCAACAACATCTGCATGTTTAACCCCAATAAGAATGCAGCATCTTCAACCGCTGCTGGTGTGATGTATTTCTAATCCATCCTGTATTCTCGCACGCATAGCAACACTCTTTTTTTAAGTTTTGGTCCTCAGCTGTATTTAAATACCTATAACTTCACAGAAAGAGCAGCATCATGGCAACAGCCCAAACMGAAACGCTGCAGAGCAGTAGGAGAACTGCACCATTTTTCATTAATATGATCTTTGTTGTGACACTGTCATTTAAAAACCTACTGTGAAACTGAAACAGTTGTCTCATAAGCCTATATAATCTAGCTTAATTGGTAAGACTTTATTCTTTCCTAGCATACTATAAATACTGGAATAGAGCTGTAATGTATTCGGGTTTCATTTTCACTGCAGAACTCAAAGGATGGGGGAACCAGGTAACTAAGCAAAATTCTCTACAAAAGCTACTGGAAGAAACAACATGGTCACTTTATTTAAGCAGTTCATTAGTACCAAGTTGCTGGCAGAACAAATGTTCACCTTTAAAAGAGTTTCCTTAATCTAGTACAAATCATGACTCCAAATACATCTGCTCTGAACGTTCTTCCGAGTTTGAGTCACACCYGGGATCTCTTGTGTTGCTTGGTGTCACACAGAGTTTGGGCTTTGCTTCCTTAAAGGATAAACAAAGGATCTGATTTGCAGTTGTAACACTCATAGCCTTCAGCTAAGACTTATGGCACTTCTTCAGTTCCCTGGGGATAACAGCTAATTTTGTAAATCACGAACTACAGTGAAATTTACCTAGGATAAAAGTCCTGGCCAAAATGTCCATTAGAGACTTATGCAAACCCTTAATCCACAAGGCATAATGCTATGAACAGGAATCAGAATTGCTATTTTCATGCTACAGACATAACTGAGGAAAGAGCTCAGTATTTCAGTTAAGGTCACACTTTGAATCAACAGCAGAATTCATGTGCATATTAAACTAAACCCTCAGGCCCGAAGTTTAAGTCTACAGAAGGAGCATTTGTAATCATATCACAAGAAAAGAATGTACAATATAGAATGAAGCTTTCAGCAGGCTGGTATTAGTGCCAGAATCAGTCTATGTARTCATAAATATACTAGTCACACACAAAAAGTAAACACAAATACATAATTCAGTGCATTCTGGAACTCAGTGAATGATGAACCTGTTTCTACAGGATGAAGACTTATAGGATGGTTCTGAAACTAATGCTTTTTTTTTTAAAAAAAAAAAAGACAAAGCTTTGGAAACTGATAWCATCTCAAGCCGAACACCTTCCTCCTTTTTCAGACCCAGTACATCTCAACAAAGTACCTCCATTTTCAACTCTGAGGTTCTTTCTCAACATGTACAGTGGCATCAGTCATTATTTTTCCTTTTCATTGGTATTTTACCATATTAGATGATGTTGTAACTATTTCTCCTCAGAGGTCCTCAAAGGGAAGTCACTGCCACCTGCTGATCATTTGGAGAAATCCCAAACCCACAACGTAGCTGAAAACCCGCACAGTTACCTTGCGAACACAGTACCACTTCCCCCAGGGAATGTGTATGGATGCTGCTTGCGGAACACGTGACCCACCCTGCTGCAAGGGATGATTTCGAGGCTGCCGCCACACTGCCAGACTCTGAAGGAGATCTCTGCAATGAACATGAAGGAAAGRCCAACACCTCAGTTAGAATACTACAAAATGACAGCATTTTGTTTGCAGAGAAGACTAAWACTGCTAATCATTAATGAATGAGTTTGCTGAAAAAGTTCAGCACAAAGGCATATCTGAGTGTTCCACCTTACTGTTCTCTAAACTCAGAAAAATAAATTCATAAACCATGCTGTAACTTGGCACAGTAAGTCAGGACTTTTAATGCTTTAGCAGGAGGACAAGTAAGAATTGATAAACTTAAAGAAATCAGTGAACTAGCTTATAACAAGYTGCTCAGCTAAAGGTGGAATAACCCACTAGACAAATTTGAGGCAGGATTGATACACTGAACAGRTTCAGGCTGCTGACTGTTTACACATCCAAAGTATGGGACTGAATGGAAGGAATTTCTTCTAGATCTGGTTGGTGATGTGAACTCTTCTGCAACTAAAGCTTATGGATAGTACACCTCTAAGCCAAGATGGCAAGAGAGAGAATTAGGCGTATTCAAGATTAGTATAGCAGACAATCTTCTAAAAATATTAACAACTGAGTATTGTCTTGGCCTTATGGTCTTGATTTTCTGCTGGAATGAACGTGAGTCAATCAGCAAAGGAATCGTTAAAGCGGCTAAACCCGGCGTTCTCTCCATGAAGCTTTGAAAGCAGCGACTTCGCTGTTCCTTTTATGCTCTTTTGAACTTAAAAATTAAAATCATGATTTCAAACAAATGTCTGGCTAATATTTCCAATTAAACAGGTGATTGACCAAAAATGCTTTTATATTTCTGCCAGAATAAATTATGCTTTTAAAGACCTTCAAGTTTTACCAAACACAACCCAAATTTGGTTCCATACTGCTCAAGTTATGAAAGCAGAGTAGTCACAGTTTTCTCCTTTCATTTTGCTGCATTATTTAGCATTGTTTATGACACTTCTCTGTAAAAATGATGTATTTAAGACCAAGCCACTACCAAAGTAATAGGAGATGTTGCTCTCAGTGAGGATACCTTAGTAAAAGACGGAGAGATTTTATTAAAAGTGAAGTACTTTTCCATTAGGTAGGTGAGATAGATAGTGGACAAAAAATGAAAATCAATACAGAAGGCAGTGTGTGTGCGAGCATTTCATTCTTAATTCACAGCTTCTTCTCTTGTATATGTTAATTCTTTGTCAATTTGCTTAATTCCCTCTCCAAAAATCCTTAAAAAAGTCAAAGCAACTTGCACACTTATTCTCCAAAGGTATCAAAAACRTAAGTGGAAGTGGTAAGTATTTTTTTAGTAAACAGGAAAAAGCAAAGTAATTCTTATGTGTGCCAGTGTGGCTTTAGGCAAACTAACCTCAAGTCTTAGTCTCTGTGTAGGCTTTTACTTTTTAAGAGCCACTGTTTTTGCCATACTAGCAAACRGTGACGAAAAAATACTGAAAATTTCAATCAATACAGATTTCAAAAAGGCATATGCAGCAAGTCAAACATTGCTTTAATACATAAGATTAGACCTCTCAATAAAAGATATGCTCTTGTAGTAATATTTCATATAAGGTGAAAAATACAGCATCAGTTCTGTACAATACATCATATTATTCATATATATGAATATTCATATATATTATTCATATATATATATATATGAATATTCATATATATATTATTCAATACATCATATTATTCATATATATATTTCATATATAATTCATATAAGGTAGACGGGAACTCTTTTCTTCTTGACGAGTACCATGCAGCATCATAGTAAGATCTGTACCTTAGACAATTTAAATTTAAACTGTAGGCAAAAAAGATCTAGCCCATGTTGGAACTGCTGAAGTTGAGTCTATATGCACATGTGAACTAAAATATATTCTGCACATGTTTCAAGGAAAAATGTTAAGCTTTATGAAGTACAAGCAGAATGATTAGAATTATTTTCCATTTGTCAGAATATTTGCATATAGCACCAAGCCTCCTTTCCAAGATCTGCTTGAGGATAAACAGGTCATACAATGGTGCATGGCACATTTTAAATTGTTTATCACATTTCTGTTACCTTGCACATGTTTCATTTAATGACAATTAAATCACAGGGTATTTGATTTTTATTCTTTATTTTCATAGCTGTCCCAGACTAACTGCACAAGTCATTAGCTGCCTGTTACCCTGACTGCTCACACGTTTTCAAGTGGGAGCAGAAAAAGCAGCACCCCAAGGTTTCAGGTCCTTCTGGCTGGTAGACAACAGTGCAGCAGGAGGAGCAACATATTGCACAGAGACCTCTCACCTTGAGTAAGCAGCTGCTACTTGTACCCTGTCCTATCAAAGCTTGAAAACAGCGGCAAAGTTCTTAGAATTCAGGGGGCCTGCTGAAGTACTTGCTTACAGATCAAATATTTAAGTGCTCTAGCAGCAAAAGAGGTTCTCAAACGGAACATATTGCAATAATAGTTTGTCTGAAGAGGTTCCAGGATTTCTAAAAAATGAAAATAATTGTGATATGCATAGAAATAATTTTAAAATGTACTGTCAAAATGATGAGATACTCAGAAACTCCCAAAATATCTTGCTCAGAATATATGTAGGATTTTTGAGTATTGCATAGGAAGGTCAGAGACTAGACTTACAGATCTCTTCTACCATTTAAGTTCCTTATATAAGTACTAAATGTTCAGCTCCCATGTCTCCATGTTTAGAAATGGGCTGTTTGCATCAAGCTTCTTACTGCAGTCAATTCATACATTATTTCAGTAAATTAAAAACCCTCTCTCATTCTTTTGAGTTCAAGGTATCTCAGAATTTCACTGTGTATCAGAAGCATTTCTAAACCTTTATAACTGGCTTTTAAAACATATTATTTAAAAACCTTCTGAGGAATACCCAGACCTTGGGAAACTCAAGTGACAATAGACTGGAAGTTAAAAGTAGTTAGAGTCCTAACCTTTTTTTTTATTTGTTTGTTTTTAAAATTAAAAAAAAAAAAAAAAGTATACTAGCGTGAAGGGAAGACAGACTACTGCAATACTGTAATGCACAGAGACAAAAAAAAAAAAAAAAACACCTCTGCTGAAGCTTAATTTAACTACTAGGCCAAAGGAGAACCCATGTCCTTAAAAGCWTGAGTTCTCAAACTCCTCTCCCTCCTTCCTCTCCCTCCCAAGCCCTGTGCTCTCACCAGCTTCTGAAAATTACAACAGAAAGGTACAACAAAATGTACAACAAAAATGCTTTCTCAACCATAATTACCTTGTGAGACTACAATAAGGTACAAAATAAAAACAAACATTAAGCCTATCTGCCAGGCAGGACAGCAGAATCAGTGATTAAGAAAAATGGTAATTCTTCAGTTAACTACATTTTCATTGAGTTCTTAACATGTGTATAAAAGGACATAACTTCTTTCCAATATCATCTAGAGGTAGGCAATATACATACCTAGATTTTCTCCACCCCAAACATCCATCATCATGTCGTACTTCCCTAGTTCTTCAAAGTAGGATTTGTCCATCACAAATAACCCTCCAGCTATCATGGGGGTCCTAAACACACAAGAGAAGTTGAGTATTTAGAGAAACATGAAGTGGCAGATAATTATTTGCATCTCAAAGTTAATAACCCCTAGGAAACCTTGCAATCCTTTTGAAGGCAACTAATTTTGCACTTATTATTTCTCAAATTTTCTCTGCACASCATAATACAACATTTCTATAACATATAGCACTATGACAGCCTTCAGCTTCTGARGCCGCTTCCAAATCCATTTTTGACTCAAGTTTATTATTTAAAGGGTGGCAATTTGTGCCAAGATCATAACATTAGAACTGATGCTGTATTTTTAGTCCTCAAAACATGCCACCACCAAACACAAACCAGCATTTACRTAAGGAGATTATTCATCCTTCACAAGTGTCCTTTAAGTCAATCTTCTTTTTAATTCTCAAATTATTTCTTATCGTGCTGTTCACATAATGAATGAGGGACACCTCAATATTCTGAAAGGATATAGTAAAGATCCCTTTTCACACCTGGAGATAATTTAGTCCTAGACTCTCATCGGTTTCTAAATCTATGTCAAGCTTAATAATAAACATATAATTACTATATTTTGATGTTCATATCATTTATACTGATGTAAAAGTTTATCAAATGGATTTATTTAAAAAAAAAACACCATTTTTCTTGAAAGAAGAGTTTTATTATACTTTGCTTATTGTAAACTCCAGTACTGGAAAAGACACTGGAACTGTACTAATTCTTTCCACTCAGGCCATCCAAACTGGTGATATAAATTTTAGTCTGTCTGTATGATGGCAACTTGGGCAACATGGACAAAACAGAATAGAAACAGTGATAAACTGAGCCACAGCCTATCTTCTTATAATTTTTGGAGCAACACTGCACGCCAACCATTTATCAYGCACTTAGGTCTTCCTAAAGTAAATGGACCAGCACTTCCAAGCGCAGTAATGTTGTATGACAGGTACATACTCCTAAGAACATGAATCAACAAGTTTCCTTTACTCAGAAGCTTAGAGCATTATCTTTCAAGGAGAGAAGTGCTTGTGCAGACATACTTTATGGGAGCAACAGGGTTTCCTTGCCGTGCTCTTCTTTGCTCTGGTGTCATGTAATCCCATTTGAACACCAGGTTCCAATCAAAGCCTTCAAGAAATAAAGTCAGAGAAGATAGAGCATTAAAAAAAGGAGATTGTTGTTCAATTTGTAATGAGCTACACTGATTGAAATCCCCTGTAACTTAAACTAGAAATAAACCAAATACTTAAGCCTGTACAAATTTCTGGGGAGAAAACAAACAAACAAGATTCCAGATGAAGGGGAAATCCGTTGGACAGGACAACACAGAAGAAATCTCAAATGGAAAGTAACTTTGATTTCTACTGTTGCCATTTATCACATGATTTAAGAAATTAAGTCAGCAACACAGTTGAGGCTCAGAGCCTTATATACATGCAGTGTCCCATATACCTAAATCAAACATCAYGTGAAGATCTCGCACCCACTACAACTGCTCCTAAGGACCCTCGTTGTACAATTACATTTCAAACACTGTCAAGTGTCCGCACAGTTCGGCTGGCMGCAGCTCTCCGCAGCGCTCTCTGCRYTTCTCYAAGTAGGAAACCTCTATCACAGAGAGGGAGCAACAGGTAACGTTGCTCCCAACTTTTCCACATTAACATTTAATTCATCCATGTCTCCCACTGTAAGGAGCTTTCTCCCCTTATGCACACGTGTGTGTGCCCAGTCTAGTCCTTCTGCGAGTCAAGCACGGGAGAGCAGAACAGCCACAGCCAGCTTGCCATGTGCAGCAGCCCGCTGCCCAACCGTGCTCAGAACTAGCCCCCTTTGGCCACAACACAAGCAGTCTGGCTCGCATAGCCAGGTGTAAGATGGACTTTCCAGAAAGGAAACACTTCCCTATTAGTTTTTGACCCGCCTGACACCCGTAAGTGCGGGTATCTTGAGAAAGGGGTCTGGCTAGCAAGTCTGCCTTGCGTAAGTTGCTTGCTGCCAGAAGCAGTTAGATCCTATGACCTCATGTAAGGAACGATTTCCAGATTTCTGCTACACAGATGTCAATAGCTTCCTTGCTCCAGCATTGAAGAGGTAAAGCAATTCTTTCTGGGGAAGTGGGAAAAAGATAAGTTAAACAGTTATAGCCCTACAAACAGATCATCTGCAAGCTTGTCTGCATAGTGGGGATTGGTCTGGATGGTCAAAAATGGAACAATTTCCATTTTAACCCAGAAGATATTTACATCACAATATAGAGAAGTTATTCTGAACAGTTCTTGTAACACACATGCCAACTCGTTCTCCTGCAAACCTGAGTATTTAAACAGCCTTTCATTTCTGCAGTATAACTTTTTATGAATACTCAAGAACTCCAGGTAGCTGAATGACAAATGGCTGCAACGCATAGTGRGGTAAAACCTCCAGCATGAGAAGTCAAAAGAACTTTGGTATTTCCATCTTATTAGAAAGCCTCATTTCCTTTGACATGCCTGGCAAAATTGCTTGTATCTGAACGGCTGGAAAAACACGCTCCTCTAGAGCCCAAGTGGCAGCAGGTTACATTTACTCTAGTGAACACAAGGGGTCTCTTTTGGAACACAGCACAGCAAGACTCGGAACAAGCACACAAGTCTATCCATAAAAGCTGTTTTCCCTCTCCATTTTCACTGACTCTGGGAAAAAAAGGGTCTGCATTCAGTGACAGAGTATCAGTAACTCTGTAAAAGGAGTATTTTTAAACAGAAGTGCATACCCAATATGAAATTGCCCTAAGCATAAGCTCCATGATGCAGCACTGCCTACTGCAGTCTYAGAGCTCAGCTAACTACAGTTCATTCCCGTGGAGCATTTCCCCGGGCAGAAACACTTCTGCAGCCCCCCACAGCCCTGTGACACAAGCGCAGGGCTGCGGCAGTGACCCGGCCTGGGAATGATGCCCCTTCCAACCAGAGCAGACACAAATGCTGTCCCTGCTGTCCCAGCTCTCCGTACTGCAGCCACGTGGACACTGTCGGAGACTGAAAGCACAGCTCGATTCCCAGGTTTAGATTTGGCCTTAGTGAAAACGTCCTGGGATGCCAAATGCAGTAGTGCCTCTAATGTGGYGATCTGGCCTCTGGGAACGAGAAGCGAATAAAATTCACTTTTCAGCAGAACTTCAAACAGCTTTAAACATTGCTAGGTGCAAAATTTCTATTGTTAACAGTGAAAGCAACAGCTTCTCACTCCTCAGTCCAAAAGCACAAAGGCTCCATGGATTTTAAAGAATCTATTTCTATTGTGTGTGGGGTGGTGGGGGGAAGGAGGAAGCACACTAAAAGTGAAAAATCTCAGAATCAGCTCAGTAGAAGAGGCATAAAAAGCAGTAACAAGTGAAGCAATCTCCCCATCTTCTCCTACTGTGGTCGGGAAGAAACACAGGGCATGAACACCATAAGAGCCCCTCTAAGGTTTCAGCGAAGGAATTGTTCCTCCCACTGCAAAGAGCAGAAACCACAGAGCAGTACAGAGATTTGCAGGGCTTGCAGTACACTGAATAGACTGGATGAAGACCTGCAGGATTTAATAAGGCTGGCACACAAGTAATAACATGGAACTCTATATGGGCACATCGTAAATACTTGCACTGTGCTGTTTATATTAATGAATTAAACATTCAATTTAGGTAATTACTGATCTCAGAGCATTAAGAGGTTAGAGAACCTCTTGCCTTCAGATCACCAGATCAAATGTGAAACGTATGCAACATGATGTGACTATACATTCATTCCACTAAACTAGGGTGAACATTTGGGAGTCAATTAAGGACAGGTATGTCAAAGACTGAATGGGCTCACATAGCTTGAAATTCATTCCTCACTCAAGAAACCCTTCCAGAAAGAGCTGAAACACTATGGGAGCAGTACGGAATAATTTTGGTATTGTACCTCATCTTGTATCTGTTACACAGCCAGTTCATTGCCAGAGTTATGGGAAAAAATAAAGATATGGAGGGTTGAGGGAGGAGAAGAGGAAGAGAGCTGTTTTAAATGGCAGATTCCTACTAGCACTGAAAACAAAGCAAAAAACAGTTAACATATTAGCCATGAATAGGAGTTTCAGTGTTCAGGCTCCTGTTGGGGGCCCCCACTCCCCTTTTGGGAAATGGAAGGGCAGGGGGAAAAGGAGAAAAATGTGGGTGGGGAGGGGGGCACTGCAAAGAGCTTTTTATCGTGTGCTGTCAACAGTTTACACTAATTAGGCACAATAAAACTGTAGCACTTTTAAACAGAATTTGAGAGAGAAATTTTGTACACAACCACTACAGATTTTCAAGGTCACATTTTACTCTGCCCATGAGGAGAGACTATGAGTGACAAAAACATTTCTAAGCACATTCCAAGGTTTTCTGCTTATTTAGAAGAGTTTGATTATTTTTTCTCAAAGCAAACTGGCATCTTGAAAAAACCTCATAGGCACTGCATTGCTGATGGGCTTCTAGACAAGACAGTAATTAAGACCATTATATCTAAAAAGCAAATAAGCTCAGGCACAAGCTGCTTCAGATACATGTAAACAATCCTACGAACACTGGTGTCTTGCACATTGGTAAGGGGCAGCATAAACTTCTATGAGTTAGTCTAGTTTAAAGTAAAGGGCAAGGAGGCCAATTTCAAATCCAGAGCTAGAAAGAAGTGGCCAGTAAAGTATCAACCAGATAGGGAAGAACAGTGTTAACTGCCCATTCCACAACTGCAGTGCTTATGAGCTTTGATTCTCGATGCTTTCTTTTTATTTCTATTCCAGTACAGGTACATACCGCCTTTTAAATCAGCTGACGCCCCCACATACTGGAAGTTGTCCATATTAATTACATCAATAATAGGAGACACAACTCTGGTCTTGTCCTAAAATAAATATTGAGAAGTAATATTGAAATAATGAAATCAATATATAAAGATTCAGGCAGGATGAGATGTTGAACAGTTCAGCTGGATTTCATTAGCAGTTCGCCCCCAACTTTTTCCTCTTTTTCACCTAGGGCCTTACAYGGCCACCCAGACAGAATTGCTCCCCACTGCTTCAGAAAGCAGAAGCACCATCTGACAGCTCGGAAACCTAGGTCTATTCTAGACTCCTTTTCTTCAAATAATCCCTCTCCTGTGACTTGCTCTTGAAGGAAACAGCCAGCTTCTACTTGAGAAGGCAATGAAGCAAGCAGCATGTCCATTCCACCTCCTAAAGCTGGCCCAAAGGCAAGCAGTAGGCAGGCAGTTTTTACTTTCACAAGAAATCCCCAGGCACTGAGTGCACTGAGTTCTTCAACTTTCAAGGAACATTTAGGTCTTTCTGCAGTCTGCATACAGTTAGGTTAAAGCCCATTCGTTTCACACTAGAAAAATCATGCTCCACAAAAAAAAATCCTCCTAAGTGAATGAWTGCTAGCAATCTCTGGCTTCGAAGGTTTCAGTGGCACAGATAAAAATAATTGTAAGGAAAAAAAAGAAAAAAACCCAACAATTTTACATACATCCATTAGGATCATAAAACAAAAACGAGACAATCCTTATATTACAAATTCAGTATCATTAGACCAGTCCATTTTCTTTACACCAAGTAATTCAAAATAAGAATTGCATTTGTATATTGAAGCACAGTTTGCCATTGTTTGATACAAACACTGGCAGCCCAGTCAAACTCTGGCAAAGTCATCCTGGAGTTCCAAATAAGTTTCACAGAACYTTGACCTTGCAGATCACATCATGCAGAGATTATAGATAACATCAGAATAGTATAGCATGAAGTCTGACTACAAATCAGGGAATGTTAGTGTTAATTAATGTTAACAATCAGGACATTTTTATAATTGTTAAGAGAAATAGTTCTCATGGTTAAAAAGTTGGCCAGCCTAAATATGGGCTGGACAGTGGTTCAATAATCTACCTCCCTTGCTAATCAGTGCTACACAGACTGGATTGGTACCAAACTGGTATGAGTATAGTTTAAGTTCCCAATAGCAGAACTGAAAGCARCTCTCTTAGTTAAAGTTCTTTAGGTTGGTTCAATTAGGACATTAAAAATGGTGGCTTTCATTCAGTCAATCTTAACTGCTAAATTAATGTTGCCTTCAGTCTGCCCAGACTGGGTATTTCACATGCGCCAGGCCAGTTTGCATGAGTGAGCAAAGGATCAAACTCCTGCATTAGGCAAAGGCAGATTCCTCATCGAGTCTTCACCTAAAAACCCAATCAATTCCTTATTGATTTCTACATCCTTTTAATTAGCACTTCAGCTACACCCTATGATCCAAGTATAGACCTCTATGCAATACAATGCAGCATGCAACAACTAAGCAGGGCCTCTAACAGGTAGTGCTTGGTCTAGGCCCTCTAACGGGTAGGGCTTGGTGTAAACTAGCCAAACACAGGGACAGGCAAAATTAAATCCAGACAATGAAATCCACCTTCCCTGTTCCCCGTTACATCTTTAGCTCACACYCTGCTAGCCACAGCCCCCTGCCTAGAGGTGCACCGTGGCAGGCCCATGGCTCTACTGACAGCAGTTTACTTGACATGCAGTTATGATTTATTTAACTGCAAAGCACAGAATTTCAGTGTCCTGCTTTCCTCCTTACAAAGAGCTTCAGGTGCACTCATTACATTACAGGGCACATTTCTAAACACAGTGACAGAATCAAGGAACTCCTTTACTTACAATACCTTTAAGTATTCAATCTATGCAGTAACCGCTAACCGCCCCCCCCCACTAACAAGGCACACAGAAAGTAAAGCAACTATTTYTGCTACTTCTTTCCTCAACAAAGTCCTACTTCTTTCCTTATGGACATCCAGAGTACTGCTCCTGCTGATTGTSTGCACTTCCCCTGGCAGCTCAGCGTGGCACAGGCGAGCCTGGAGCGAGAGCTGCCCCAGGTGCCGCGCGAGGCAGCGCTTCAGCCACAGAGGCCAGCTCTGGCCCGGCACGCAGGCAGCCTGCTCTGCTCTGCCCCTCGGTGCCCGCGGCTCGCCCAGGCCCGGCTCGCTCCCATTAGCCCCACCACGAGCGATACCTGCCCCAGTGCCCGTGACCCGAGCCAGGCTCGCGCCCTGAACACCTTCCTGGGGGCACCTACAAGGTATTTCTGATGTGCAAACACCCAGGTGTTTCTGGCCTGGAAACACGCTGTTTCTTCCAGGACTTCAGTCCACAGAACTGCTCTGCAAAGCACATATTTTTGGCATATTTTTAAGCTGATGCTTTGCAGAGCTCTATTAAGCAGTTAATGCAGACAGTGTGCTAGAGAGAACATGCAGTCTCGGTTGTGTAAGTGTCTCAAAACCATTCCCTGAAAACACGAAAAAGCAACTGCTCCTTTTAAATTGCCCCGAAGTAACCTTGTTATTTTATTTTTTCTTAAACCTGTGGTGTTATGACAATGGGAGGTTGATGTGCATTTTGGAAATCAAATTACAAGAAGGGAAAAAAAGATAACCTCCTTGCTTTTGTAATCTGCTTTTTCCTGATGGCTTTCGGTTGTAATTTGCAAGGAAACACACAACTGAAAAAACATGCATTTTCTGCTGAAGGAACAGCCTGTGAATAGTGCAAGCATCAGGTGCCTGGAAATTTGTAGCATTCTATTTCATTTTAATAATCAGTAAGGAGGTTACAGAGGCTCTAGAGTATCAGACTACTATTATATATTATTCTCAGACGTTACCAGAATTTTCTCAAGATTCTGCACACGCTGCTTTTCCCAACAATCTTCAAAAATCTCTAGGCACTTCCAAGATTAAAAACATCCCAATACTCAAGAGGGAGCATGAATATTTTCCTTTGAGTACCGTGCCAACTAAGAGCAACTAACTCAAGGTCACAAAGTGACACAAGTACAGAATAAGAAATGCATATCTTGTTCCTTAATACTAGTCCTTTCTTCTATTTTAAGCTGCATTTGCTTAAAAATATCTTCCAAAAGGGATACAAGAGTTACAGCTATGCTGTAAAAATGGATAGGCAGTTAAATTGCTCCAGGCATGCTCCACTCATACAAGACATTAATTATGTAAGAAAAATTAGAAGATTTATCAAAATGATTAGAAATGGAAAATACAGATTAGAAAAAGCTTTAAATAACTCCTATCTTCTAATATTTTCACAATTKTTTATTACTATGTTGATGTTGGAGGTACAAATGGTTAAAAATCTGTTGCTTCTTGGTTTAATCCACCCTAACCAAGCAAAATTAAGAAAGTTTCTGGAGGGCATAAAAGGCACCCTAGAGAGCAAGACAGAGCCATTCTGCRGGAGGGAACAGGCATACTAACTCCAGTTTACGTGGGTTTCAGTACATTTTGAATTCTGAATATGACTTTGTAATAGATGTTTTTGCTGCTTTAAGCTTTTTCTCAAATTGCTGAAGAGAATTCCCTGGCACCATGAAACTCTTCTAGGAATACTAAGGAAGCATGGTCAATAAACACCAACTACAGAACTATCTTAAAAATAGACAAGACAGCTCTCTAAAGTATGATTACAGCACATCCAGTATTATATTGTAGAATTGMTTCTGTTCAAATCGTGTTTCTTCTTTTCTTTTTTTTTTAATTACACAGGAAATCACACAGGGAAGCCCTCAAAACYCCCACAGTGTTTTATGCCAAGTGGGTAACTGTGGAACTTAGTAAAACTTTCCATCAAATACAGAACAGATATAGCAAGAGCATCAGAAAATACTGCACTTCTTGTCAGAGCCTAACCTGAAGCAGTTACTCCTGAGTTCAGAAAGGAATTGAGCTTATACAGCTTCTTGCCACTCAAACCATCAAGAAAATGCTTCCAATTAACATCCCATTACAGTCTGCTCTGTGAGCAAAATCAAGTAATTTAAGTAAATGACAAAGAGCCATCACATACTACATAAAAACAATATCCAAGCCCTAATCACTTCATCAAGCAGAATGTTTAGAACTCCTCTATCAAACCCCATACCTGGCTGTTTGGGAAACACCCCTTTCCAAAAATGGCAAAAATACTATTTTGATTTCCTTTTGAAAGCAAACTGGAATTACACGCCAGTTTCTTAACAGCATGCAACCATCAAAGGGCACAAAACTGTATTTATACAGCTAAAAACTATTCAAAGGCACACATGTGATTAGTGTGCATTAGGGTGACAGTTGTGATGAGCAAATTTTCTTGAAGAGTTTCATTGCTTCTGTGCTGCTGAAAGTGGCTGCTGCACAAGGCAAAACTTCAACTAGGATCTCCCACCAAGAACTCCATCTGCTATGCTGGATCTCCATCAGCCGGGCCGCAATTTAACAAAAAAGTTTTTATATTCTGTTATGATGAAGAGGTAATGCTTTTCAGATTCCATATTTGTTTTTAGAAAACTAAATGAGCATGCTCTGGAAAAAAAACTAGAGCAGAGAAAGGACAAAGGACAAAATCTTTCCTACTAAGGGAGGAGTTGTAGGCACCTCCAAACTATCATTTTCTTCTGGTTTCTCATGTAGGTAGATGTATCACAGCAAATAGGTTTGAAATCAGTTTCCACATTCTAGAGCCACAGAGTGGTTTAGAAAAAGGCATCCTCCACTTCCTTCTGAGGTTTTTTTTTTTTTTTTTTTTTTGTATATATAATGATTTCAAGCTTGTTTTCCTGGTCAAGCTAAACAGAAACCACCTCACTCCTTCTGAAACTATATTTTAAACATGCAAAAAAATGCAAAGAACTGTCATGTTAATCATACTCTAAGTCTTCTGGAGGTTCTAGGCACCCTAGTAGGGTCCAGGTTTGAGACAATTGAAGTTATTTCTCTTCCAAAAGGGAACCCTAAATGTTGGTGCATTTGGCTCTTTGTCGTATTCCCAAGACATGGTAAAATATCACAGACCAAACAGGAGAAGCAAAACCAGTCACCAGCTGGTAGCTCTTCTGTTGGCATGTTGAGGATGTAGCTTTTTTTTTTTTTGAGTATATGCAAAGAAAATTGTATAGAAGATAAGGGTAGAGCTGGACATTAACAAGATAGAGTAGCTTAGCAAAAACATTTCAAAAGAAATCCTGTCAAGTTCGAAGGATGCCTCCTGTCTTGAGTGTTCCACAGTTCTTTCTGAAGTTGCACATGATTCACTTGCCTCTTTGACAGAACTCCTCGGGAGCAAGTATAACCAACACCCATGAAGAAAACAAGGTATTTGCACTCTCAGTGCTGTTAATTGCATTTCAAGGATACAGACTAAGCATCGTTTTGGTAAAAGCCAAGAGTCTACAGCCAACATTAATTTCCTTGGGATTTTTGCTTTCAACAGTTCAATCCCCCTCCCATTATCTAACTGAATCTCAGCAAGGTAAACAGAATTACGTGGACATGACTTTGGTCAAGGAGAAGTATGCTCTGCTCTACCGCTTTCCAACATTTGCTGAGAAGGCCCCTAAAAATTCAAGAAGCATTCATTTTAATTGCTTGGAAAGATAAATGTTCGCATTTTGTGTTCCTATGTTCATGGACTAAATGAACAAAAAGAGTGTTTTAATGACAGAACATTTGGAACATCGCCATCATTTCAGAAGAAAAAAAATCTTGAAGATACATTAAATTAATGTAGCACTACTACACTGCTTTAAAATTTAAAAGCTACTCCTTCAAGAAATTTAGAAGAACTCTTTACTAACCTCAGCTACTCTTTCCAGAAGCGGTTCCAGCCAGTGTTCGTTGCATTCACAGTGACTATCGAGGAAGGTCAGGACTTTGGCCTGTGCTGCATCTGCCCCTCTGACACGGGAGCGCATCAAGCCTGAGACACAAAGAAGAACTTACTGAGACCCCTGCAACCAAGTCATGTCAGACAAGACCTGCTTTTATAAGAAAGTTCTCTACACAAATAACTTCCAAACAAAATATTCAAGCACTCAGCACTCATCAGTACATAATTACTTTAATTATGAGCCAGCAAAGGTTTTGTGCATGCTGCTTCTATTTTTTTGACAATATACTGCTGCTAGCTGTTCCCAAGACCAGTCTGGCAACCTAGAAGATAGAGTGTCTATAAAAATAAACAGGCACATATCTGCTAATTCAGTCAGCTATTTCAACTGTCAGCTCTCAGTTATTTCAAACAGCTGCACAACAACAGTTGTGTATATCTAATACACTAAGCTCCGTAGTCAGGAAGCTGCTGACTGAAGGGCTCAGAGATATGAGACAGTAATTTGCAAAGCATAAAAAGACAAAGAGAAGCTTAAGACAAGTTTGTTACATGATACCCTGGCTTCAGAAGAACTGGAATACTTAGTTCCTGCCTTCCTAGAGGCTCAAACCATGTCAAGTCTGCCAGACTTTTCTGGTCTGCCCATCAAGTGCATCATTAAAATGATCCCTCCTAAGTGTAGCATATAAAAAAGTTATTTTTCAGTTGGATCACATGACATTCATTTACAGTGAGAACTTGCACAGAATTGGAGTAGCACAACTGAGAATTCAGCAAAGTATAGCATGAGAACAGAGGAATCAAAGTGAGAAGGATTTTCCTCAAGCTGGTTTCACTGTGACAGCCAGCAATGTACAACTGATCAAACAGTAAGCCCAGATCAAATCAGCGTAGTTGTTTTATTTACAGATACGTAGTATTTTTCTTCCATTCTACTAGCAATCTGATTTCTAAAGTGAAAATCCCCTCTGTGCGTAACACAGTGTTCATTTAAAGAATTAAATGAGTTCAACAGGTAACGCAGCGCAGCAGAATTTGTACCTTCCTCCCCCCAGTCAAATTAAACCTACCTTCTCGGCGGTCGTTTCGAAGAACCCTCACTTTTTCAATTTTTCCCAAGAGAGCACCATCCTCAGCTACAAGAAAAAAAAAATAAAAAGAATCAAATTTTGAGATGCAGTTTGATATCCAACACTGTATAGCATAAGAAAAAACCCACAGTGACCAACACGCGTTTAGCCTTTATAAAAAGTACGTACGGTCATTACTGTAGTCGTCCACCAGTATGATTTCCTTGATAAGATGTGAGGGGCTTTTTTTCAGGACACTGAAACCAACAAACACAAAAGGCATTCACTACTGAGCAGTGCTCATTTTCCTTAACGTCATCATAGGAACAGCTATGCTTTGTTACGCCACAACTTGATCTAGCCCAGTAACATATCTTCTGTAACAGCTATTGCTTTATTCTTAAGAAGCAAGTGAAAAGAGATACACGTAAAATTGTTCCCCATCTCCAGAGTTCCCTTCCAGCTGCCAGAAATTAATTAGAAAATTTGTAAAATGGAACTCATATCCATTTTCTGAGTTTTTCAACCCTCATGTTGAAGCTCTTCATACTTCCAACATCTTACAGTAACTGGTTCACACTTTTTCACAGATTCGCAGCCAAGAAGGCAGCTTTG